AGCGAAGAAAGACGCAGGAAAGGTACTCGAGTATTAATGGCGTTCAGGTCGGATGAATGCGACCTGAACGTGTTACTATATTCGGGCAAAACTGGCCGATCCTGAACGAAAATTACCCTTTTGATTTTTTTTAATGATTAACGCTAAATTCATTAAATTACGCAAGAGGATTAGAGCCACTGAAAAAAGAAATTTCCCATTTTAAACAGAAATAATATGTAAAAATCTGTTAACTTTTTTTTTTTTAGTGGCCCTAATCCTCTTCTGTATTAAATCACTGCAAACGTATTAATTTTAAATATAAATAATGATCCATTGTTTATTCCTTGCTGAGCGGACTTTTCCTTTAAAGGCTGCTAAAAATATAAAACATCTTTATTGTTCTTAAATCACTTCTACATGAATATTTTCCAACTTCACCCCATAATGCTTTGGATCAGTATTCAATGTTTTCAGATCTTTTAACCTTTTAATTAATGATCAAACTTCTTATATTTCATAATTTATCCTCCAGGAAAGTTGTACTAATTCTTCCACATTTTAATTCACTAATTATTTTATCTGTTCAGTAACTGAGTCCCGATTTTAGTGAGTATCTGCTAATTAATCCAGATCAGATCATTCAGCCCTTTGATGCAGGCGTGTTGGATCAGAGAATAATCTAGAAGCTGGAATCTCCCATCGCTGCTCCAGCATTTATCAAAACTTATTTTATTGTCATTGGAGATTATATATATATATGATTTAATCTTAATAAGCACAACTCGGGTCGGTTCGGTCCAAACATTTAAAGGAAAGCAAACCGCTTCCAGCTGAAAGGGAACATTTCCTCACTTCATCAGCAGCAGTCGGACATTCATTAGTCCTACATGGTCTAGATCAGCTGTAACCAATTAAAAACCAGCGGGGTCCGAGGTTTTTATGCATCCATGTTAATCCATGTTCCATGTTGAACTTTTAAATTAAGGAAAAAAAGAAAAAAAGAGGAAAAAAAACAATACTAGAACATTTTTCCATTTTAAAATCTAAAGTGTTTTTTCCAAGTAGAGAACAACAATCGTTCAGTTTGGTATATAGACAATTTCCTGAACACCTGAACTGTTAATTTTCTTTCTTTTTTCTGTCTTAATGTTGGCAGTGGGCTTTAGGCTGCCCTGC